CTATTTGTGAAAGATTTAAACTCAAAATAGAAAGTAAATTCGAGGAAGATATCTCTTGCATATATGAGTTATGAGTACCTTGGACCTTGAATCTCTATTATCTTGGAAATTACCTTTGGGGGTTAAAAAAAAAAAGCTTTAGTGCTTTATTTTTCCATAAACTTTCTGTGCTTTCTACTGAACCAGTTTTGATGGCAGATTTTAAAGGTGTTTCAGATCTTCCTTAGGAGTGGGAGATTTCTGAAGGAGTCAGAAATCTTGAGCTGTGTAATGTTTTGAACAACCAATAAAAAAAAAAAAAAAAAGAAAGAAATCTGATCATTGTATGAAAAAAAACTTTGAGGGACCTGAAAATATTTAAAATTTAATTAACTTATCCCCAGACTTTAGGGATTCCTCCTAGGTAAGTTAACTTTATTTCCTGCCCTTTTCTATTTTTTGTTACAGCAATTAAATGAAAGAAGCATTTGCTTCATAACTACTATATGCGAGGCACTGTGCTATATACACCCAATGGATGTGAGATTAAATAAAATAGGTACAGATAGTTCTGATTCTATAATGGGTTTCTATTTGAATTAATATAATCACACATACCATTACAGACTGCAGTAAGTACTGTAATAGTGAAGAGTCCAGGATGTTAAGGGAGGTATCAGGGAGCACAGCCCAGACCAGCAGGGTCAGGGAAGGCTTCTTGGAGGAGGTGATGTCTGAGCCACATCACACAGAATGGGAGTTGGACAGAAAGGGCATTGAACAGGGGGAAGAAAAATGTGTACAAAGATAGAAAAGCAGAAGTGCAGTGTGTTCACTGAACTGTGTTAAGGGCCCTCTGACTAAAATTAGAAGAGTGGAGGGATCTAGTCAGAAAGGCTTCTGGGAAGGGAAAAAGTTTTGGCAGACATTTAAGGCAGGAAAAATAGAGATGAGTCAAGAGATGACCTTCTGGATGGGGTGATCAGCCTTCAAAAAAGGCATCAGGGTAGGAGTAGGTTGTATGGAGTTAACTGAAAAGCATATTGGATCCAAGCAGAGTCACAGTATCAAAGTAATGAGCAACAACAACAAAGCTGCTAAAATCCAGGCATAGGAGGATGAATTTGGTGAACCAATGCGGGGACATGTGGGGCAGAGAACCTGAAAAGCAGCAGGAATTGGAGACAGCAGACAGCTCTCTCAGCTTAAATGCAAAATAGGAGGTTAATTCTGCAGAAACTCTGAAAAAAAAAATGTTCAAACTCACAAAGACCAGGGAGTTGGGGGCAGGATAGCACCAAACAAGTGTAATAAGCAGTGATGAGACCTCCAGCCTGCTTAGTGCTCAGGAGGCTGGGCCAAAAGAATGACTTGAGCCCAGGAGTTTGGGACCAGCCTGGACAACACAGAGAAACCTTGACTCAAAACCAAAACCAAACACCTCCAACCTCCTTTGCCCACTGTATTTCCAGAATGCTATCAGCAAGTATTTTATTCTCCAGATGTGAGTCTGGAAGATTTGTCTTTAGGACAGCGACTTGGAAATACTATACAATTGAGTAAATATTATTAAATATAAAATGAAAATTTTCTGGAGATACTTTTTTTAATGAAGTGAATGTTCCTCTCTTTTAACTCACATATCTATAAATGAACAATTATTTCTAAAGGGAAATGAGAATTCAGTATTATTCAGAATTCAATATCATTTCATCCAGTTCTTTGTGGTTTTACATATGTAAATGTTGAGAAAATTTGTTCACATAAATAAGAAGGTATGAATGTTAGATTTTGTGATGGCTTCACTTCTCAATTAAACATCAAAAATCATAGTAATTTATCATTAAATATTATTTTAAATGATCTACTATCAACAACTCAATTAGGTTATTCTTTAATTGCATTGGAAGCAAGTAATTGGAAATCTGACTGGAAAGACTATTACTCAGCTATTGGAACCATTTACTTTAAATACTACACTTTCACTTAGAGGTACTTTGTCTAACTCATTTATTCAGAAGGGGCTGGGGAAATAAAAATGTTAATTTAATAGATCTTTTTAATGTAATATTTTTGATATTTTTTGACATTTTTATAGACTAAGGATTGCTATGGAAGAATGTGTCACAGCCTTGGCTATTTCTTATCAAAATTTTCCTCTTTGCTTGGAGAAATTATAAAAAAATTATGGGGAGTGGGACAGGTAAAGTCCTTAAATCAAAAAAATATTTAGGACTGTCCTATTGTTGGTATCTTGAAGACATTTGCAACCTGGGCAATATATTGTTGTACTATCGACAAAGATATATACAAATGGAAATTGATTATCTGGAAAATGATCTCCTTAAAACTATCTGTGGCTTATATACCCCTCAAAATGGATACTTGCATCTATCCCAATTTGAAGGCCAGTGACTCACACCGAGAAAATGGAAAACATACCCAAGAAGTTAGGGGATTCTTAGAGGGTAATGAGAGTAGGATCACAGAGCATTCCCTCTAGGATAAAGTTAGACAACAGAGAACTGCAGAACAGCTGCAAATAAAAGATGGGTCTCAGTGAGGTTTTGCATCTTGACTGGGGTTTAGAAGTTCTGTTCTTCACCATTACTTATTGATAGCCTTGGTAAAGTTTAGTGGTTGGACAACTGAGAAAAAAAGAGAGGTGGCTTATTTAAGATGATAAGGCACTGATTAGAAGGTACCTGGATTAGAAAGAAACACGTAGCGACAACAAAAATAGTAGTATATCAAAGGCCAACTCTTCCTGTTTGGCCAATAGGTGATGTGATCTCACATTCATCTTAGTATGTGTGACCTTAAGAGGGAAGAAACAGATCAGTTCCTTAAGGTGAGATCATGTAGCAGCAAAGATGAACTTTGATGAACTCTTTTATAACGGTGCTCATAAAAGTAGAATCTACAGTCTACGCATGTTCTTCTTTTTGATGTGTTCTGAAAGCCTGGATTTTGACTACCTGCATCAGAATCACCTGGTTTGTCAAGTTAAAAATACAAAATCCTGGCCTTATTCCATACATAAGAATTGGCTGGGGAATGAGGCAGAGAAGAAATTTTGGAATCTGTATTTTAAATGAGCACTTCAGGGAATTTTTATATACTTTTGAGTTTGAAAGCCTTTAAGTCCTTATATGAAATTGCAGGTTAATTGTAATGGAAAGTCAGATCTTTTTCGTATTCAATGGAGCAGCCCTGGCAAACTCTTGCCTCCCCATGTTTTACACAAGCAAACATACTGTGGAATATTTGAGGCCCAGGGCTAGATTTCCCAGAATATTTCTCTCCAACCACAATGATTTAGCTCAGTCGTGTGACTATGGAGAAATAAAATTTTAATTTCCTTCTCCTCTTTTCCCCAAAACAATATCCTCAGTTGAATTTCAACAGATACTAAATCAATGCAAACATCCTGTTAGTCCTTCAAGCTTCTTAAAATAGAATGCTATCTGTGCTTTAAAAAATTCAATTAAACCACCATCTATTAAATACCCATATAAAGCCCTACCTTTGTTGGGTGCTATCACACACACTACTGAAATGAAGATTCCAAAACATAATGGCAGCAATTAAGAGCTCTTCATCTCAGTTTAATGGCCCAGAACATCAGTTCCATGAAGCACATTTTGAGAATGGACAGGAAAACAGTGTGTGGAACCCTTGGATTATATCATGAATGCTTCAAGGAAGGAAAATTATGAGAGCCTGAGCTAACCTTAACATGACTCAATCCCTTTGGAAGTAGCTCTTTTTAAAAGCAGTGTAGGGGAAGAGAGATTTCTTTTCTCATTCATGGCCACGTTCATGGCTGAGGCCCCTATAACAAAAGGCAGATTAACAGGAGAAAGGCATTTATTTGATGTTTATTTTATAATAAACTTATTTAATATAAATTTAAGACTCAGAGAAACAGAGAAATCTGTTTTTACTGACAGTTGTGCATTAGTATGATTGGCGGTTCATACTAATGAAACTAGCAAGGTCTGTATGTTCAGGTTCTGTTTGGTATCTATCTCTGTCTTGGAGGATAAGACAGATATAGGGAGGGTATCTCTGGAATAAAGGGTTTATGACCTAAATCACAGAGAAGGTTAACTAGATTTTATGACCTGCTTCAGGACAGAAAGAGTGAAGGGGAGGTATGAGTGACCTTCCCACTGTTTTCTCAAATGCCCAGGTGCTATATTTTGGAGTAACGTGTCCTGAACTCCATGAGCATTAAGGTGAAGAGAGCAGTCTAAATCCTTAATTGGATTCCAACTAAGGGTCTTGCCCACCTGAGGGACAGATGAATGGCAATATGCCTTCACATCTCGTCACCCCTACAATGTGTGAGAATATTGGTTTACAGCTCAGTTGGGGGAACAAAGCAACTTGCTCTATCAAAAAGGTAAGAAAATTAATACTTTCTAAAAACTATTTTTGTATTTATACTTATTATCTATAAGCAATTCTTAAGACTAATTCTTAGCATTCTTGACATTTTAAAAATTTTGGCAATGGTGGGGACCAAACCAAGGGTCTTAAATATGCTAGGTAAGCTGCTATCCTTTATAAAAAGGAAAATACAAAATATTTTAGCTGATTTAGGCTTTGTGTAGCATTTGGTTTCTACTTTTCAACTGCACAGCCTTTGGCATAACACATTTATACCAAATTCCATATTCAGATCATGATTTGCATTACTCTCCTTTATACTGAAAAAGAAACCAGAGCTAGGTCTTGTCAGTGAGGAAGTGAACTGGAGAATAATCTAGCTGATGAAAAGTGCTTTAAAAATGCTTTTTCAAATTCCCTAGACTGCCTTCTAAAAGCACTCACTTACATTATTTTTTAATATCCTCTTTCAGAATATCTTGATTTCTAAACTATTTTTGAAATTTAGTTAAAATGAATAAAAAACAAGAGCTGAAGTTGTGTATTTATTATTATTTTAAAAATTTGGAACAAGATCAGAAACAAAGGGAATATAGATGATATGGTAATAAAATAAAGCAACAAAGTACAGTTTTTTGAAACCAATTTTATGCACTAAGGAAGAAATAGAGTGGAGACAATTAAACAAGCAAAAGAGATAGATAAAAAATGATGGACAATTATGCACACATGCACATGAACACACACACGCCATTCCTCAAAAGCTCTGGAGTGATTGTGTAATCCAAGAATCCTAGTTCATAATTCATGTAAATGTGTTGCTGTGAAACTTATTTTTACTTCTCTCCATACATACATTGTTGAGACAGAATAATATCATCAGTAAACTATATTTAAGGAACATTTCAGGAGCTGAATTTTCTTAAAAACAAAGCAAAACAAACAAAAAACACTGAAGAGGTTGTAAATCTGTCTTTGTGAAGGTCTTAGATTTCATGATACCTATTTCCAAAGAGAAAACAGTAGAAGACTGCAGACAGTTGTAACCTAGAGTGAAGGAGCTGTCATTTTCTCACAGAATTCTTCTTTTTGGTACTGCTGTTCTCTATGCATTATTAATCTGTATTTATATTTAACTTCAGCTATTAGTCCGCCTCTCCCAGCCACCAAGCCATTTGCAACGAAGAGGAGAGGGAGATAAGGATTGCTATTCTTAGGTATTCCAGTGTGTGATGAGGGGGAGACAATTAAATAACACCATTTAGCATCTTTGAACATGACATAGATTGTTTTGGGTGGACAACTCAGGGCTGGTTAACATAAACTTTTCCCTCAAGAAAGTAAAAAGAATAGAGATACATTTTTGAAGTAGTTAATTAAGGCTTCAGCAATGAATGTGGGAAAATTACAGAGCCATAAAAACCCTCCAGTTCCAGTCAAGAGTAAATTTTCTCTGCAGTACTGTCACTGCTCATTTACTGCATCATGTTGACAATGTCTCATATTTCCACAAGGCTTTTATATAACCTATAAACAGGGACAGAAAGGTGAGGAACAGAGAGAACGGGGACAAAGTCTGGACCTCCCACATTGTCACTTCCTTTCATTTTTCCATTAAAGGGTGAGATTGAAGGAGCATTTTAAGATGATTTGTCTAAAGGCTGAGATGTTAATAATTGACACAGCAAGAGGAAAGCTGTGAAAACGGCCACTGCTTGCTCACTCTTCCAAAAGATGAGTGTAATTCAGTCATAATGAAGGCTCTTTAATGTTCCTCCCACAAACCTTTTTCGATCAGGAAAGCCTGAGATCTGCAGGCAAGAAAAATAATCATATATAAGTTTTAAGCAGAAAAATTCAAATGCTAATACTAAATTTTTCCCTATTTTTTGTTTCTGTATGTCAGCCTGTTGTTCATTATAGAACTAGCTTTCTGAGATTTTACTCAGAAAACCACAGATTAAATAATAAAGAAAATTCTACTAAAATGGAAAACATTTGCCAGTAAGTTGGTGATAATGTCAACTAAATCAGAAAGAATGAAGGTGAATCTCCTAATACTTACCTAATGGACTTTTATGTGAATTATCTATACTGTGACAAACAAAGGTATATCAGATATATACCTTTAGAGTCACAAGCAAATGATTTTCCTCTATTATTTGTAATATAGTCTTATTCTCGAATTCTTCTTGTATCTTGGATCCTTATTTTCCCTTTGCTCTGATTTTCTCCTTTTAAATTTAAATAAGACAGGATAAAATAAATTGCCTGTGCCTACAAAAGGCTCTTCCCCAACTTTTCAAAAAAACTACTTCTGAAAATAAATTTGGAAACCATTTCTCTCCAAATTTGAGAACCCATTTTATCAAGAAAAGACAGATACCAACCTGATTACCTTCTTTTAAAAAATATCTCTTTTCTATGACCTGTAAGAAACAAATAAAGAGTTTGAGACTTTGCACACATATCTGGAAAAAGCAGCTAACTGTAATGGGTCAGTGATGGGACTAAAAGGAATGTATCCAAATTAAGGATTTCATTTAACAGATGCAGACATTTTGTACAATGAGTTAAAATCTAGTGCCAATGAGATCAGGATTGCAAAAGTATTTCCAGAAAGGCCTGTTTCATTCCAAAAAGCATGAGAGATCAAAACAATAAATGAACAAACAAACAACTAAATGACAGAATAAGATAAGATCCCTGCAATTTCTAGAGCACAGTAGGAAATCTGGCTCTAAGTTTCCTAGCTGTTGATCTCAAAAGGCATGGAACAGAATCCATAGTTAAAGCAAAGCACTTGCCCATTATAATAGTACAGCTATTCCTTAAAGAGGACATCAATGTGATGTGGTGAATTGCCATATGCCTATAGGAAATAGTGATGAATTCTGTATATCCTTAATGTAGACAGATGATAACAAAGATAGTTAATTAGCTTCCTTTATGGACTTCATTGGCATCCTTAGTTCAGGGGTTCTGAATTGTCTGTATTTGATAAGTAGGAGAAATAAGTTAAATCAGTGGCTGTATCCGCACAAATCTCTCTCTACTATTGAAAAGAAACTCTCAAATATACATTCTAATGTAATGAGCTTGAGAACACCATATTTTCAGATGATGAAAAACATTTTTAAAAAATAATGAAATATGTTCTAACACTTGAGAAACTGCAATAGTTGTAGAGGCAGAGCTATTTTCTTTACATAGAGCAGCTGTGATAAGGAAAGTTAATTAAATAAGAACACAGGTTACCTGGAGAAGAGCTCTAATACATTCATAAAGAATTCCTCAGAATGAGAGTAGTGCATGTTCTTCCTGGCCTGTACTTTGACTGGCCTGAGAGCCAGATTATCCAGATTTTTTTTTTTTTTTTAATCTTGGAGTCTATGGTTAGGTTATTTTAAGCCACAAGAGACCCAAAGCAAAGTTGCATTCATTGGCTCAGGGGTAAAAATGCTGGTTCTGAAATGGTGTACATCTCAAAACACTTGATGCCACAAAAATAAGGAACTGCTTCCCTTTCCTCTGTCCATGGCATGACAGGAAAATCTTACCAGTTAGAGTAGTATTACTACTATCTAAGGAAGTCTGAAGAAGGAATTAGACTCCCTTTTGGAGAACAAATCTTTACATTAACTTCTGGAAGATCTGACATATAGAAAACTGGGTACAACTTTACTGCTAGATGCCTAGGATTTAGACAACCATATCAGGCTGTAGAGGTCTGGTCAACCTCAAAATCTACATATATTTTGTTGAGATTTAGGCAACAAAGAGAAATGACACTTTTTGCTTTTGCTGATAGTTCTTTACCCCCAACTTGTAATGTCCTTTTCTTACTAAACCTTACTGTCTTAAGACAATCAAATTGTTTCTTCTTCTTTAAAAATAAATGTTGCCCGACAACCTGGTTTATTCTAAGTAGGAGAATTAATTCTCTATATCTTCCTTTTTAAATTTCAAAATTAATAATTTAAAATTTTAAATAATATGCTGTGGAACCATTTTGGGCCAGACACAGACATTTATGATGTTGCTCTTTGGGGACAGAATTTTGTATGAGATGGGTGCAGTGGATCTAAACCAAATGGAAATTTTTATGCTTTAGGTTTGAAAACAATGTGGAGAGAAAATCTGGTTCTTTACAGTGTTCTCCAATGTTTTTCATGTTGTGGCATAATTAGAAAATGCTAATATTTGTACAGCACACCCCCTATCACCCAGACCTCCTGTCTGGAGGTTCTGGATGCTCTAAGAGCTGTGGCAATCAGTATCTGAACACATCTATACCCTATTTACCACACGCCACTTAAGTTCTGAGTGAGGCAAAATTTTCTTAATGGGCTAATATTAAACACAGAGGGGAGTATGGTTTATCTTCTGGTGACCTTGAAAAAAAGAAACAAATATTTATGATCTCTAAATAGTTAAAAAAAATTTTTTCATAATGAAGATCTACAAGGAGAAAAAATGTTTTTCTTAGGAGATTATACTTAAAAAGAAATATAATACAGAAGTTAATCTTTTTCAATGAGACATGCAGGGAAGCATCCTGTTTCATTTTACTATCCAATGTCAACATTGGGCAAACAACTTAAACTTGATTAATGTTACGTGCAATGCAGGTATTTGTTCTTGTGAAGGAAAGACCAGTATGCTGAGTCATCCTAAAGTTTCATTCTAGCTCAGTGATAATAAGATGACACCAGCAAAGAGTCAATAACCTGAAAGCAAAAGTTTCTATTCTGGAAATATTATGGGATCAAGAAAACAACATAACCTTACAAAGTTAGAGTAACATTTAACTTAATGGAGAATAATAATAACTCAAAAAACAGAAAGAACTCAGGCTTGTATTGTGCAGAATCTTCTCAGTGCAGTGCCTTTTTTGGGGGGGGCATGAGGAAGTAACAAAAAGAGTAGAAAATGAGTAAGCATAAATTGTCTCAAGGAGAGGAATTAGGTATGTTTTGAAAAACTCCACTTGAATCCAGTAGTTTTCACTCTTTGCTTAGAGAACACTGGTGATGGAATAAATACGTCAGCAGGCCTTGAGCAATTATATCAACAGATAAGAGAGGCCAAAATAGGTATTATTCAGGCTGTGAAGTTTGGGGTGAAGGAATAAAGGGACACAGCATTCCACAAAGACTTTAAACTCTCAAATATATAAATTACGTTTAAAAATAACTTAATTGAAGCCATTACCTTATCAAAAAACCTACTGATCTTGACAGCATTGGAAGAACCTGCAGCTAAATACCGAGGATTTGTACAATCCTAGAAAACATAAGAGCCACAAATAAAAGTTAGAAAGCAAAAGTTCTTCAATAATTTGAACTTTCTGTTGCACATTTCTATACTAAATAATTAGGATACTCTAATAAAATATTCAAATAATTTTCAAATTATGATGCACAAAGCAAAAAGGAAGGTATCAAAGAGAAGGCTACTTACTCTTTGTCATTTAAACAATTTTAGAGTATAGGGAATCAATTCATCATCAATTCATAAAGGAAGACAGAACTGTTTACTAACAAAACAAACAAAAAATAAGATACTAATCAGGTACCTGTCTGCATTTGTCCTGAAAACCAGAAATAGAGCCATTACAAACAGTCCTCATATTTTAGGACTAGGTACTCACTAGTGCTCAACTAAATACTATGCAGTTTATAAAACAGAATGAAGCATTAAAATAAGGATTTAGAGAAGTACAGAATAAATAGAAGAATTGTCAAGGATTTCTCCATCTTGTGGTAGGTCACAAAGATATACCCTTTTTGACATTAATAAATAAACACATTGTTATTATTATTCAGTAGGATTCTTTAAAATAGGGGGAAAATGGCACATTATATCATTACAGTAACTTATAAAGACCTTAAAAGACTTACTATCCTTCTCTTAGAATCTCAGTGTTATACTGTTTGTACTTGTCGCCATTGACATGCCACCTCAAAAGGCAGTGTACTTTGATGTTGACCTCAAATGCCACCTAAAACCAAACTGTGAGGATATCATGTTGGCTCCTTTGCAAGGATATTTGTCTGTGCCCCTTGAAAAACTACTGCAATTACTTTTTTGTAATCTTTAGATCTACATGGTTCCTTTCTAGTGAATTTAGTAACAATTAAATATTTTATCTACACAGAACATTTCAAGGATCACATTTTAAATTTCAGCAAGAACTTGCAATACATTCTCCAAAACCACAAAAAAGAAGAGACAACAAAAATTTTCAAAGATCACAAAAGAGCAGGGAAATCAGGGGTCTCTGAAGCCAGCAAGTTCTATATTTGAAAATCTGTGCCAATATTTCTACACTGTAAAATGCTGCTTAGGTGACTAAGCCTTTAATGTTGGGCTTACTCATTTGTGAAATGGGAATAATACTACTTATTCCATACAATTTTTGTGAAAATCAGTGAGATAATCCAAGTCTCGCACATAGCAGGTTCTGTAATATTAGTTCTCTTCCCCATTCTAAGAAAATGCGGATTGAATTTTCAGACACAAAAGCATCTAACACAATAAAGATAATTCTGTATATGGATTAGATGTGCTAAAACATCATCATTCACATTGTTATATTTGAAATAATGTTTGAGCACATTTCTACAGCTGTTGGGGCATAAAAATGAAAAATGTAAGACCTGAATTAGAAATGTTTTGCAAAATGAATATTGATTACCTAGTCATCAGAATGTCAAAGATACCAGAGATGATTCTAAAATATAGATAAATTACTAAATACAAAAACCAAATCAAACAGCAAACAAACCACATCAAACCTTAATTCTAGGAACCCACAATTTCAAGTTGCCTAGAGAATCTAAATCCCTATGATTTTGGGTGAAAATATTAAGAGCTGAAAGAGCCATCTGTCATTGATCATGGATGAGGGCAAAGTTTGAAAATTAATAGCTCTAAATAGCTCTTCTGAGCTTGAGAAAGGACTATTAAGTAGGGAAGATGTTTCAGTATGATCACGTTGAAATAAACACTTAATAGAAAAATTTGTACTAGACACAGTAAGTCTAACAAGATTTTATAAAAGTAAGTAATCTTCCACCATATAATAATTTCAATTATAAACAAGTTGCATTTACTCAGGCAGAACTTTAATTCTGCTTTTTGATGTATATATTTGTTATATTATCACTTTTCTTTAGTTTTAAGCAAATTCATATAATAACTGATGAACCAGCACTAATCCTAATATTGTTACATTAGTTTTTGAGGTCTTATATTTACTGGCTGAGTCTTTTTGACTCCTTTTGTTTTGAAACTCTTCCACCCAACTTTTCTCATTTTTTGCTTCCTATATCCTTATCACCGTCTCTTCTCTTTTATGTTTTGTTTCTGAAGCTATACACTGATAAAAGCTAAAACCATGATGTAATTTAAATTCTTTGGAGACTATGTGAGCTGAAGTCCTACTATTTGTATACCTTTACATCTTGCTAACAAATAAAGGTGGCCCTGCTTTTGTAAGGCAAGTAGGAATAACATACATCTAGAAATCCATGGGCACTAGAAATAAATTAAATGTTATCACTGGAATAAAATAAGTATATTCAATGGTAAATTTCCCTTTGGAAATAATGTTTAAATGAAGTAACCCCAGCACTTCTTCAATGTGGAAATTACATATCTCTAGAGTACAAATCCTCTGGCAGCACTGACTACTTGAAGTAGTCACAATGAATATTCCATAGTGTCAGCTGAGAAAAATAAGGCATTTTCTATTGCATAGCAGAATGTAAAGAAACAATGGAATGGCAGGTAAGAGCTGACTCAATTATGGGGACAGAGATGGGGTTAAATCAAGCAGTGTTCACAAATACTGATTCACAGAGCAAGAGCATCAGAATCACCTGAAGTATCTGCTGAGATTACAGACTTGGGGGTGGGGGTGTACTGTACTCAGTGGTAAAGTGTATGCTTAGCATGTGTCAGGTCCTGGCTTTGATCCCCAGTACCACTTAAAAAAAATGCAAAATTAAAGCATCCTAGACTTACCACCAGATATTATGAATAAAAATCTCCAGCTGTTTGGGCAGGTACTCAAAAATTTTTCACAGGTACTATTTGCAATATAAATATCCAGTCAGGTTTGAGTAACTGTTGGTCCACATGATTTCCAAGAGTTATTTCAGCTCCAAAATTGTTAATATTAGTTGGAGGATAAATAAGTGAGGAAGGGCTTAACTGTAGACCATAGGCTGTAGAGTTGAGAACACCTTACTTGACCTGTGTGATTTTGGCCTAGTTACCTCTTTCTCCTTCTTGTCTTCATGTTTAAGATCGGGATAGTAATATTATGTACTTCACAGTGTTGATGTGAAGATGATACATGTGAGATGATGTTTGTAAAGTACTAGAACAGGCACATAATAAGTACTCAACAAATGTTGGCCATTAGTATTATTAAACCACAACCACAGCATATCTGGAATGCAATACACTCAGTGATTATGTTATAGAAATCCTACTTGTGAACAATGACAACCATGACTAAAGGTGCTGGCCAGAATCCTCATCAGGGTAATGCTGACTGGCTTATAGGAGAACAGTTTCTTAGCCCTTTTAGCTCTCAGTTGTAATTAAACTAGCTATCTTAGGGGGGGACTCAATCCTCTCTATATGTGTACATTTATATAAATTAGTCTTTATGATGCACTCCTACTTTATAGTTTGCCCTTTAAAATAAATTTTGTTGTTTAAGCAGCTAGGAGGTTTTTCTAAAGCAAGAATAATCAAGCTAGATTCATCTTCATCAATTTAATTATTTTGATTTTGGTTTGGTTTAAAAAATAGTACTCTCAATTGAAAGCTCATGATTATATTATTTATAGAATAAAGTTTGAACATTTCAACATATCAATATACCAGGCTAAAGTTGACTATGACCACCTAGTCTAGATATGTGGATTCCAATCTTGTCTACATTTTGGACTAGAACTCCAACAATCTGACTTCAAGTATAAAGCTTCTTTCACTAGAATATATAATTTGAAAATAAGTCTTTGATCTTGCCTTTACCTTGTAATAATACACATACATTAGTGAAAATACATACCAGATTAATCTCTTCTGCATTGAAATCTTCAGCTAGGAAAGCAGTCCTAGTTAAAACTTCATGACGCTTGGTTTCATGAATCTGGTCCAGTTTAGTGCCTATTACCAAAAGTGGGATCTGATTATCTGCAAACTGTTCCTGATCATAATCCCTGTGATAAATAATAATGAAGAGGTGAACAGAATTTACCTTCCCAGTGCAGATGTGCAACATTTAAATACAAGTAATTTACACTATTTTCACTGATAATTGATTCCTGGCTCATCCATCACATACAAATTATTTTTCTTCCAATTTCTTCCATTTATTTGTTCATTTATCAATCCTTCACCATCATCTATTAAGGTCCAACTATTCATCTAACTATTCAACATTTGTTTTTGTATGTCTTTACAATAGTCTACTTGAACAACTGAGTGAGAGTGCTCACCAAGTATACCACAGTCATGTGACTTGACTTCCCCAAGGTCTGTCTTTTACGGCCAATGACTCAGAAATTTTTCATTGTAGAAGCAAAGAGTGGATTCAAACTTCAGGGTAGAAAAATGTAGGACCCTAACATGGTACTCAGGCCTTATGCCAGAGAGGAAGATGGCAAGCTCCTGGGTACTTTTTGGTGTATGCATAAGCTCTATATGTATCATGCATATTTCTATCTATAAATAAAGAAGAGATCACTTCAGGAAAGGAAGAAATAGGGAAGCAAAGGCTAGAATAAATTGAATGTAGGTGATGTCATAGCCCAAAGAAAGATCTATTAAACAAGTGGAAATGGTAGAAAACAATTGAAATGAAAGTGAATAGTGAGAGCAAAAAATGTATTACCAAATAGTTATTTGTTCTGACATGAGAGTATGGGAGACAAGGCAATCAATCATTTAGGGTTAGTGGTCTTGGGCCACTGGCTATTACAACAATTTTTTCTCTATTTATCTAAAGGATAGGGTGATATAAATGATATTTTTGAAAGAAATATAAATTCCATTGTTGAATTAATTGAAAGTCTGTTCATAGAATTAAAAGACTTATAATTCTGATATGTTCAAGCTCAATATATAATACCAAAATCTGCTTTTGAAGAATTTAGGACAGGGGCTGGGGTTGTGACACTTGCCTAGCATGTGTGAGGCACTGGATTTGATCCTCAGCACCATATAAAAAAATAAAAAAACAAATAAAATAAAGGCATTGTGTCCATCTATAACTAAAAATATTTAAAATGAATTTACGACAGTAAATCAATATCATATAATCCAATCAACAAAACCCAGCTGAGCATAGTTTATTTTCTTTTCTTTAATACCAATTTTCTTTCTTTTGAGCAATTAAATTGGGGTGGAGGGCAAAATTACTAAATATTTATGCCCTTCACAATCAGCTTGGAACACAATTGTTTTCAACTACATAATATTCCATCTCATTCAAAAATTATTCTTCTATTTACTGCATCAAAGCCAATAATAGCTCAAGTTTAAGGCCTTTAAATTTTCTTACCAGCATCAATCCTGATTTGGACATTATTTGAAACTGACATTTAACTTATTAGAAAAAATTTCAGAGTGTCTGAGGAATTCACCAATTCTTTCTCATAAAAATTTTGTATATATTCTATCAAGTTTTTTTTTTTTTTTTTTTTTTTGCAGTAGTGGGGATGATTGAATCCAGAGCCTGTGCTTGCCAGGCAAGAACTTCACCATTGAGCTACATGCCCAGGCAGATATCATCTTTGACACACATACATTTCTGTCACTTAAAGTATATGTAAAGCATATATATATGTGTGTGTATGTATATGTGTGTGTGTATATATATATATATATATATATATATATATTCTTTTATTTCTTTTTAGCTTTCCTTTTTTTCTTATTTTCTTTCATAAAATCTTAGTTCCAATTTGATCTTCAGTATTTTTTTAAACCATTAAGTGAAAAAACTGATGGGAAATTTTGTTATTGGTAGACAAACAAAGCTGATAACTGCTTAAAATCAGTTTTCTCTCATTGTGTAGGTTCTTTCTTCACATTCTTGTTTCCTTTGCTGTGTAGGTACATTTTGATATCATAGGATAATCTTTTCAGCAAATGGTGCTGGAACAACTGGACATTCAAATGCAAAAATTAACCTCAGTCAAAACCTCATATCTTCTATAAAACTAACTTAAAGCAGATTACAAATCTAAATATAAGCCCCAAACTATAAAACCTGCATAATCAGGGATTAGGCAGAGTTTTTACACATGATATCAAAATATAATCCAGAAAAAAAACTAAGAGATTAGATTTCATCTAAATGAAAACAAATGCTTTGTGAAAGACCCTATTAAGAAAATGAAAAGAACTATGTATGGCGCATGCCTATAATCCTAGAGAGACTCAGAAGGCTGAGGCAGAAAGATTGCAGGTTCAAGGCCTGCCTCAACAACTTAGTGAGACCCTCAGCAATTTAGCAGTACCCTGTCTCAAAATAAAAAATAAAAAGGACTGGGGTGTAGCTCAGGGATAAAGTGCTCTGGGTTCGATCCCCAGGAGAGAGAGAAAGAGAGAGAGAGAGAGAGAGAGAGAGAGAGAGAGAGAGAGAGAGAGAGA